ATTGTAGGATTCTTTAGAGGAGCAGTATACACAGGGAACATTCGTTCCTCGTGGTCGTGAAGATATATTAACTACTGCTATTGGACGCCCGAACACCCGGGCGTGTTCGTGTTGTTGGAGCTGGTGTGGGTATTCGAGCATATTTTGGAGCTCCATCATCGGACCATACCCACACCACATCATTGAGCCGCAGGAGATGGCCGGATTGGAGGAGAGTCTAACAAGTGAAGCCGAGACCAGCGATGGTTGAAGAGTCGACAGCGACGCCGACACCGGCCATTACCGCACGAGTTCGGGAGGAGATGATGCGTGTATTTGGTTCAAGTCTAGCATCCATAGGTGTCACACAGCCTACCCACCCACCTATGGATGTTCCTCCTCCATCTCGCCGCACGAGTTAGCACTAAGGGTAGTTATGCTCGAGCCAAATATCGTCGATCAAGACCTTCCTGCTACTAATCGGGAGGTTGTTGTTGTTGTTGCAGACATCGACCACTCGGGTATGTGTGGATAATATCTTAATGACAAAAATTCATGTGCATATTAAATAATTAATGTCTTATTTTTGTGTAATCGAGTCAGTGTGAATTTTATGTTGATGAGGATGGATCTGAACCACGATTGGTGGCGGTTGGTTCAATTGAAGAGGGGGCCTCTACAATTCATAGTGTGCCTTTAGCACCTAACTTGGCCAAAGTGGTCATTGAAGAGGTTCGAGATGCTTATGCTCTTGTACCTGTGCCTACGTACGAGGTGATGACAGTGGGACAGCCCTCCGGACCTTCATTGCATGGCCTAGACATCTAATCAGGCCTATTTTGAAAAAGGTTTGCATATACTTTCCGTTAATTATCATATGTAGTCCGGTACTGTTTTTTATTATTTCTCAAGTCAATGTTATTTTATGTAGGATGTTCGGAAGCCACCCAGGTTGCCTAAACCGGTTCCTACTTCCCATACTAGTAAAGGTAAGGAAGTAGATGTCCCGGAAAATCCAATTTTTCAACTACTATCTTGTTGTCCCACAGCTTGTATATTCAATCTTTTCAAGTGAAGTGGGATGTTGATAAGTTAAGGGTAGACAATAAGAACTTTCCCTTTACATTGACCACACCGATGCTCGTGGAGATAGCGAGCTTGGCAATCGTGTCTAAACATAGCAAGTGTTACAATTTTGGACAATGTAAGTATTTATTTTTATTTACTAATTATGTTATTTGAAGTTATCGTCATATTTAATGTACATTGAACTGGCTACTTTAGGATGATGAATGAATTGTCGGAGGAACAACGCACCCAAGATGTGTATGGATTTTTTGAGCCCCAATCCATACAAAAATCAGGAAACAAGAGAGAAGAAGTTCAAATATACATCCAAAATTGGATGATGAAGTCAAGGAAGAAAGTTTACTTGGGTGCTTACCACCATCGGTAAGTATTTAAGCGTATGAAATTATTCGCATTAAATTTTATAGTGTATTGTATTATCCTAACTTTTTGTAATGTAAGCGAAATCATTGGCAGTTGTTGGTTGTTTGCCCAAAGCGTAATGTTGTGGCTTGGTTCTGCTCACTCGGGCAAGAAACCTGATGCAGATCTTAAAAACATTGTAAACAGAGTACACATTCTTATAATAATTTAAACAATTATTAATTGTTTTGTTACTTAATTGTTTCATTATATCTTGTACTCGCACAATGGCATTTAAGGTTTGCAATACAATTGATGGAGTACACACAAGCAAAAGCACGACTCCGCATTGGATTTTTGTTAATGTAAGTCATTTTATATTTATGTATTATATCATTCATTTTATATGTCAAATTAATATATTATTTTTTGTAGTGTAATAGGCAACCAGGATCTTATGAGTGCGGATATTATGTTATGCACTCGGATGTGGTTGATTGTTGTTAGCAAGACTGAGGATACATGGAATCGGGTTTGCTTAAATTTAGTATTCAATAAAAGACCCAAGTATTGTGTCATTGGATACTCGTTAAATTATCTTTTTTCTTGTAACAGGTATTTTCAGACAGGGAAGCATTGCCCATAGAGACCATTGACGATATTAGAAACACATGGGCCGATAAGTTTGTTAAAGTTAGAAGTAGGCAAGTTTAGTTATTAATTTAGTACTTAGTTTAGTAGTTAGTTTAGTAGTTAGTTTAGTAGTTAGTTTAGTTACTTTACTAGTTAGTTTACTAGTTAGTTTATTAGTTAGATTAGTAGTTAGTGTATTTGGTAGATAAGTAGTTGGATACACTATAATTTTGGATACAATTTTATTTTTGGATGCACATTCAATTGTTTATATCTTGTACATTGTCTGCACTGGGTTGTATTCAAATTTGCAGGTATGTATATATACAAACATTGGGTACCCTGTATAAACAAAGCGTCCATTTAAAAAAAAAATAGATTTTCTACGTCGGTTCATACCATAACTGACGTAGTAAACACGTACTCGCTTGAGCGACGAGTGTACTCGCTTGAGCGACGAAAGCTTCAAACAAAGGGGACTCTCGGGTTCCATCTCGCTTAAGCGACGAAAGCTTCAAACAAAGGGGACTCTCGGGTTCCATTTCGCTTGAGCGACGAGTGTACTCGCTTGAGCGACGAGTATACACTTTCAACGTCGGGTACGAATAACCGACGTTGAAAGCCTAAACTTTCAACGTCGGTTATCTATACCCGACGTTGAAAGTGTATACTTTCAACGTCGCCTGATACAACGTCGGTTGTATAACCGACGTTGAAAGCCTTATATAACCGACGTTGAAAGGCATATCTGTAGCAGTGGATTGTTCATTCTTTCTTTCTCTTCCCTATTCAATCAACCTTTGTTCATGTAACTCCACAAAGTCTTGAAGCTCTTCGAGACAGTTCTTCAAGATTCTTTGATTCTTCTGTCATTACAATTATGTGATTAAACTTCACAAATAATATACATAACAATTTCTCCATCACCTACAACTCAATTAGCTCCTCTCCAAGACTTTTCATCATGTTTGGACATGAGTAATATATCAGTCACCCATCTCATTACTCTTAATTAACAAAAGTTCAAATTGTCATTGTAACCTTTTGAAGTTTTTCCTTCTTGGTTTTGGTTGAACCTTTTCAAGAATCTCTCAAATCTTCTTTAATATCAATACTTTTGAAATCATCTCAAAGTTTGTTGTATCAAAACTTTGATGTAAAATGAATAATGTCTTAATTTTTTTTTTCTTCCATCTTTTTATACGTGGCTCATTGAATTTTCCCTCCGGTTACCCTCTTTAAGAAAATTCTACACTCCTTAATCTTGTAACCACTCTTATCTATATTCTTTAGTTGTCATAATTCTTCCTTCCTTATGACTATCAATAGATTTATAAGAATGAAGTGAATGATTTTATATATTATTCTTACATAGTTAGATCCGTTCTAACTTATATTCTTAATACCAATGGTTGGGAGGGTAAAATACAAAAGAAAGAAAAACAATATGTAAAAATAAAAAATACATATGCATATATTGTTTACACATTACTAAACCAATTTAAACTTGGATTACATTTCAATAATCAGGCATAAAAGTGAAAAAACACTTCCATTTAATTACTAAAAAAATGGTTTAAATCAAATTTACAACTAATTCACCATGAAAATCTATATAATAATAATAATAATAATAATAATAATATTATTATTATTGTTATTATTATTATTACATATATAATGAAATTATAATATATAATTTGTGTTAATATCAAGTATTTTTATTAATTTATATTAATTAAATTATTTTTCTTTTATATGAAATATAGACTACGGCGTATTCGATCATCAATAAAAATCATGAATCAGATTAAATGTAAATATTATTATAATATAATGTTATTTTAATGTTATAATTAAATTAGAATGTTAAATTAAAATACGATATTTAAGATAACTTAAATAATAAATAATCCATGAAGCTGTAGTAGTAATGTATAATAATAAAAACATAAAAAATATTTTATCCAAAATTAAAATCTCAAACTTGAAAATTTTTTATTTTTATCCTAGTTATTTAAGAATATTTTATTATATAAAGTGCCTTGCATGAGAAGGCTGGATAACTAGTAACCTACATCTTTGGAGTTAGGCCTTTTTGGTCTCTTTCTTTTCTAGTCTTTTTTTCCATGGCCTTTTTTCTTTGGACTGCTGTTATACCCTTATTCTATCAATTAAAAATAATGAACCTTCTTTTCTCTCTTCACATTCATAACTAATTTTTTAAGTTGAAAATTAGTTTCTGATCTATTTTGTTTATGTTATGGAGATTCTAGAATTATTACTAAAAAAATAAATATATTTTTTATATATTTTTTAAAATTTATAGATTTTTTTTTGTAATTTATATAAAAAATTCACAAAAATATTCTAATAAATATGAAAATTTTTAGTAGGCAATGAAAAAAGAAAACATAAAAAACTATCTATAACTTATTGTATTTTATGAACTCACCTATATATTTAAGTTTTCATACACTCAACTATTTCAAGTTCAACTCAAATTATACAAAATATTGTTGTGGGTTGAGTATTACACTAGTGCAATTTGCAGTTATATGAAGAGATTAACTTAATTTATCCCTGACATCAAGCACAAACATAAATTTATCTAACAACCTTAATTAGTAGTTGTAGAAATAGGGAAATTCTACACAGGTGATTTTATTTTCTCCTCAATGAATTATTTTCAATTGAGTAGTAATTTGGTAAACAATATTGCAACTACTTGCTGAATTTCAGTGTGATCATGTTGTAATTCAGAGTGTGACCTCCAGCATATATACAACATGCATACAACATCACACGTCTACACATGAATAAATACAACACAACACAACGTTTGTATTGTATTGAACACATGTTGGAAAACTTTATGTAGAATTTGGAACAATAATCACAACAACGCCTGTTGTGTGGTGTCTAAAAGAAGGATTATTCTGTTGTGTCACAGACACCTAATTGGTCACCACCAGACCTTCATTAAGTCTTGCAGTTAATTCCTTGCGCAGAATTTTGCCTGAGGCTGCTTTAGGAATTGAGTCTACGAAGAAAACCCTACCTATTCTCTTGTAAAATACCACCTGCCACAAAAACAAGCTTGTTAGCGCAATAAATTCAAAGAAAAAGATATTTAGACAACCCCTTTTCAAAATACAATCATTTAATAATATAATAATAACTTTTATTTTTTATAATAAAAAACTTTTATAATTCTTACGTTAATAAATTTACTTGTCTTGATATTTTTTAATAAAGTGATTTTTCAGGTATCATTACTCTAAATTCAATTACAACCACTAAAATATAAATCAGCATTCACATGGTCTCAATGATGTGAAAGAGAACGGTACTCATAAATTAGCAGAAAAGGAATATATTATGTTTTATAAAAATATTAGTGATATAAAAAAAACAATTACTACTATTTTTAGAAAGAGAACCTGTTGTGAAATGTATTGCTTGATTTCATCTTCAGTGATCTCGGAACCATTTGATCTTACGACAAATGCAACAGGAATTTCCCCGGCAGCTTCATCTTTCATGCTGAAACCAGCACCCATGATATTATTACATATTATCATTAATCATAACGAGACAATAAATCGAACATAAAACTTTACCTAAAAAACATAAAATTCAGATTTATTTTATAGGAGGTTTTTAAGGTTTGAAAGTTTAACTGGGTAAAGAACTTACGGTACAACGGCAGCATCAGAGATGTTTGGATGGGCAATTAACAGTGCTTCGAGCTCAGCAGGAGCTACTTGGAACCCTTTGTATTTGATCAATTCCTTTAACCTATCAACAATGAAGAGTTCATCATCATCATCGATGTAACCAATATCTCCAGTGTGTAGCCATCCATCTTTGTCTATAGTTCTCTCTGTAGCCTCTGGGTCGTTTAGATATCCTGACCAACCACAAATTCAACATGCTAAGGAGAAAATTGATGGTGACTTTTTTTAACATATTATTTCATTCACTATTCACAAGACTTAGGCTAGTTAAATATATTAGGTTTTTAGGGTTATTTACATTTATTCAAATTAATGATTACAATCTTTTACTCACATTCCAATAATAAATAAGTGCTTGGTGATCACCTACCTCATAATTTCAATTTTCATGCCAAATTTGATGTGACTCTCTGCTTGTCGTAGATTATTAAATAATTGTGTTGTTGAAAAATAATTGTGTGGTGTTGGACCATGTAATTTGGTCTCAGTAGAAAAACAGGGGTAGGTGAGGATGTAGACTTCGTCATGACCGACTTCAGACTTCCACACAATGCTGCCATGCAATCCATTTTAACTTTCGCTTATAATTTTCCTCACCTATCACCTTGTTAGGTGAAATTCTTCAATATAAAAACATTGTTTGATTATTTTTATTATACAAACTACGTCAATAATCTAGAACAAAAAATTAAGTTAACTATTTACTTCTGATACATCTCAAGTTTATATAATATTATCAAATAAATAACAATGTTTAAAAACATGAAGAGATATATGAACAACGAACACAGCTATTGAAAATATGTTTCAACCAAAATATAACCATACAAGTGTGGCCACATATATGACCACGGTGTTATAGTAATTAATCTCTTCAAATCATTATCATCATTTGGTGGCTGAATAAAGCTGAACTCCAGTGGAGTTCCCACTTTGAATTAGTGTAGCATAAAAATATGGTATTGTAGTGCTCATTGCAACCGCTTTGGCCACCAATCTTTTGTTCCACCCAACTCAACCACTCCACTGATACTACTTCGAAAATAAAACTATATATATATATATATATATATATATATATATATATATATATAATAAAATATTTTTTATTTTTAAAAATATAAAATTTCACTTAATTTTAGGAACTAATACAAATACTGATTATGTCATTTTTATTCATAAAAAAGTAATACATATTTAATTCTTAAGACTATCATAACCAAGATACTTAATAAAGACAGACATAAATTCTTAAAATCTCATGAAAGGTTATTAATTTCTAAACTTTTTAAGAGAATAATATTTTATGTTAAAAGTCCTGTGTGCACATTTTTTATCTGACATAATAAAAATAAAATGAGATGAGAGTCATAATTGAAACAAAATGACGGACGAACTAATCAATTAATGTATCAATTTTTTGTACATATAATTTTTTATTTAAAAAAAAATAATTATATAAATATTCTAAAGTTTTTACTTATTATTAGATAAATTGATAAAATCATTATATTAATTTATTAAAATACTTAATTATAATAAATAATATAAATTTAATTTATAATTTAAATAATCATATTATAATAAATTTATATATTTTAATCATATATAATAAAAAATATAATATTAAAAAAAAAAGATCAATATAAACCAGCCAGTCGTGTCCCACCCAACCTTAAATCATCCCTATCTTGTAGCTGAGATATGAATATGAAAAGGACAATTGAGAAAGATGGTTAACTATAACAAGGATTATGATGAAGTTTATGCATTTTTTGTGTGTATGTCAACTAAGTGAGAAACGTAGAAAAATATGAGTGGACATGGTGGGACTTGTGGTATGTTAGCATTGATCATCATCCTAACAAAGTACTATGCAAATATGTTTTAAATTGCAAACTGTTTGTTTCACTTTGATTATAATTATATATTGTTCCAAAGCTTTGTTGGATGAATTTCTTAAAGGCCCTATTTTTATTTTATTTTTATAATACCTTTCATAACCTTTGTGCCTCTTATGCAAATTTCACCGGTTTTGTTTCTTGGGAGGGAAAGTCCGGTGTCTGTGTCCACGATTTTCATCTCAGCGTTTCTGACAACGGTTCCGCATGCACCAGGTTTTGTCTCCGAGGGTTCTTTTGCAAACGCCATGCTAATTGCAAGTGGACCTGCTTCCGTCATCCCATACCCCTGTACGGTCAAAAATATAATTATTTCTTTTTCTTTTCGCTTGTGTTTCACTATTTTTTAAGATTTTGGAAGAAAAAAATTAAAAGAAGACCCAGCTTTAATTATTTAAAAATATATATTTTAAGTAATATCTGAAAATTCTATACTCACTACTATCTTTTAAAATTTACTTTTTTATAAATAAAATAAATAAAACAAAATATTTTTTCAAAAAATCTCTCAACGATAAATTATTCTTAAGAAAGCTATAGAAAGAATAAAGTACATCTAAAGGTCCATTATTAGTGACATTTGGCATCAAGAATATAGATATATTTCGATTAATGTATAATCATTAATTTATGTCAGAGTTTAAGATTCCCACTCATGTATATGTTATCCAGAAATACAAAAAAGCAATCTGAAATTGATGAAAAGAGATTGAAATGCCTTGTAGTTAAATGTCACACAAAAGTCAGTGAAGAAACTCCAACTAATAGCTTAAGTCACTAAAATCTCACCTTTTATTTCAAGACCTGCATTTCTGAGTTTATCCGCAATTCAGATTTTAGAAATTAAGATATTACTTTAAAATAATTAAATTAGTATAAAATTTAAAATATATAAAATTAATAAAAAAATCGAAAAAATTGATTAAATCTTTAGATAAAACTAGTTTTATTAAAAAAATAAAAATCATTTTTTTATTTTTATAACTAATAATATTTTTATTTTTTACTATATTTTATATATTTATTATCTCAATTGTTTTCTATAATGATTATGATAAGGATTTTTATTATAATTGTAATGAATAAATTTATTATATTAGTATATTAAAAAAATATTAAATTAAGTTGAACCGATCTTTAAATCCTCAATCATAATTTTAGTGACCGATTTGAAAAAATAGGTTATTATTAACAAAATTTTAGAGATGATTAATATTTTATTTTGTGAGTTTTGTAATGAAAATGAAACCTGTCCAAAAGCAGCATGAGGTAGCCTAGCTTTGATGGCTTCTTGCAGTTCCTTTCCCAACGGTGCGGCGCCAGTGACCACAGCGCGAATAGACGAGAGGTCGTATCGATGGGCATCTCCGCTCTTAACCAAGGCCAAAACGATGGGTGGCACAAACGATGCAACAGTCACCTTGTACTTCTCGATCAGCTCCAACACCGTCGTCATCTCGAACTTCTGCACAATGAGAATGGCCGCACCGGATCGAATCCCGCAGAGTAAAATTGAATTCAGCGCATAGATATGAAACATAGGCAGCACGCAGAGGAGCACATCCTCGCTGGCAGCGTATTGGTGCGCGTTTTCGCCGTCAACTACCTGCGCTACAGTGGTCACCAAGTTTTTATGGGATAGCATAACGCCCTTGGGGAACCCCGAAGTGCCGGAAGAAAACGGTAGCGCCACAACGTCGTCTGGATTAATCTTAACGGCGGGGGCTTCCGTTTCGTCCGCGTTAGTTAGCGCGGAGAAATGCAAAACGCCGTCGTTAACGTTCTCCGAGGAAAAATTATCAATGCACATGATCATCACCTCGTTGTCGTCCGCCAAGCTCTTGATTTTGTCGACGAACGCGGATTGCGTTATAACGAGCCTCGTTTTGGTGGCGACAGCTTGCTTGGTGAGCTCCGCCGTCGTGTAGAAGGGGTTGGCGGTGGTGACGACGGCCCCGCGGTGGGAGGCGCCGATGAAGGCTAGTGCGAACTGGGGGCAGTTTCGGAGGACGAGCATGATGACGTCACCCTGGCGGATGCCGATCTTGTGGAGGCCGGCGGCGATGCGGCGTGCGGCGAGGTCGACTTCCGCGTAGGTTAGGATGTCGCCGGTTTCGCTGTCGATGAGGCATGGTCGGTGTTGGAATTGGGAGAGATTTTGGAAGCAGTAAGAGTGTAGTGGAAGGTGCGTGGGAATGGGAATATCGGGGAGTGGGGATCGGAAGATGAATTCTTGTGGAGAAGGTGCCATTGTCGTTGAAGTTGGTGAGGAAAATTTGCGAGTTTGCTTCAAAGTGGATGGGGTGTGCATGTGTGCATATATATGTGTGCGTGAGAAGCCTGTGGTTACATCAAGAGTTGGTGAGACAGTGACTGCATGTTTCACACGTATATTGTTGGGAGTGTTTTGTTTTGGTTTGGGTATAAACTTTTTATTTTTCTCCATTGTACAAAATTCTTTTATACATTATGGATGTTTTTCTATTCTGTCGACAAAATTTATTATAATTAAACATTAGTTAATGTATAAAGACTACATATTTGTAGCTTTTCTGAAAAAAAAATTCTTATTAATAATTATATTATTGGAATTAAATTCAATTTTAGATAGACAAATTAAAGATATTTATGATAGACAAACTAAAATTATTATTATAATATTAAAAATGGGTTATTTTTAAAAGTTGTATGGATTTGGGTTGTAAAATATATTTTTGTTATGATTTTTCTTGTTATACATTATGGAATTTTCCTCTTTATGGATAAAAATATGAATGTAATTAAATTTTAATTTTGGTATGAAGACTAAATATTTATTTTATGTAATCAAATAATGATAAAGTTTTCAATATGAGTATTTAATACAGTTATACATTCATTTTTTAGTGGTAATGTATTGAGTTTATTACTATATAAGTGCTAATTTCAATGAAACATAATTGACTTTCAATGTCACAATGACAAATAACTAATTATATGGTTTTCGAAAATATCAAAGCATCACAGGAATTTCATAATCCATCTCCCTGAAAATATTTTTTTTATATTCAAATAATTAAACTGCAACTTCCTTTTGTGTTAATAGAGAGTGAAATGAAAAAAAAAAAAAAGTTGTTTTGTAAGTAACTCTCAAAAAGTATAATTAACATACAGATTATATATTGTTGTAACTAATTTTTCATTTAATGTGAGATTTCCTTATTACGTAATGCCATTTAACAAAATCTAACCAGTTCTATGAAAAAATAGTGATCGATCATTTAGTTGATGATTCAAAACTATTTAGTTATTCTATTCAGCCCATTAATGATACTTTTATCATCAACTTAAGAAAAAAAAATTAAACAATTTAGTATTGAAATGACTCACACGGACAATATCTGTATGAGTAAAGACACATTACAATAATTTTTCGTAATTGGTGTTTGTATTTTTTTCTGTTACAGTATTTAATTTATTTTTCAATTTTCTTATAAAATATAGTGTGGGATAGATGTTTGTTATATAAAAAAAAAATACCATTATCCATTTTTTCTGTGCCTATCTCACCAACCTTTTGTCTGTTGACGCGAACCTTCAACGTGTTCTCCGTGAAACAGTGAATTGTAAATGATCAGGTTTTGATATAAAAGGAAGCACATAGAATGGGTTCCCACATTTCACCTACCACCACCACTTTGGGATGCTTTATGTCAATCTCATAGTCACAATAGCGTCACTTCTTACGTCTTACATAAGTTTTTATTGAATTCAACCTGGGCCACCTAAAACCCAGAAAATTAAACATGGGCCTTCCTTACACTATAAGCCCAATGGTTGTTGGGTGGGGTTGCTATTCTCTCCATTTCCCAATCTCTACGTCATCATAAATTAATACACAATGACATTTAAGAATTAAAGAATGACATTAAACGTTTCCGGAGTCATGGAGTCATGGTTTAATGTTGTGGTTGATTTTCATTATATTTGGGATTTATGAGTTTAAATATATATTTTATATAAAAATATAATAAAAATTTATTAATAATATTTAAATTTTAATGATTTAAATAATAATAATATAATATTTTTTAATTTTAAAAATGATACAAAATAATAAAATAAGATTCAAAATAATATATATATATATTTATTGTTCCATTATTCATATGAATAATTGTCGTTCTTAAATATAAGAGACACGTCCAAGTAGTCACGAACTTCTAAAATTTTATTTATGTATAATAATTTAAATTTAAATAAAATTATTTTTAAATATAAATGACTTTTAATTGTTTTGTTTTCTCATATAAAATACTAATAATAATTATAATAAACATATATAATCTTTATTCTTTTGTGTAATTTTTTACTTTTTTTCTTTATATTTTTTTCTCTATTCATTTAACTTTCTTTGGTTCATATCTTCTTTTTTATTGTTTTTTTTTCTTTATTACTCTTCCAATTTTATATTTTTTCTCTTTCACAATTTCCCTTAGTATATATTTTAATTATATATTTTTTTAATAATATTTTCCCTTTTGTTCTACGTATGCACTTCAAATATGAGAAAACAATAAAAATATAGAAATAAAAATTACAATAATTTTCTTAAAACGAAGAATAAATTAAGCAAATATTTTTATTCTATTTGTATTATTTACTAACAATTAAATAAATTTTTAAAATAATTAATGATATTTTATTTTTATATTAAAATATAAGAAAGGAACTTAAATTAAGTTTTTGAGATATATAAAAAAATAAATAGAAATAAAATATTCTTATCTATGATTTAAAATATGTTTAGATTACTGTTATTTTTTTTTTCAAACATGGAACGAACGAGTAGGTGAACCAAGTTTAGCCAAGGAACAAGGTCATCATCGCACTGAAATGTGTGAATGCTTGATAAGTTAAATAACGAGATTGCATCATGAGAGCAGTGAAGCTAAAAATGATGTATGTTATAATCACTTTAACCAACATCAAAATCTATATCATGCAAGAGAAGTGATTCTTTGCAATAGAGAATAAACAAAGGCTTGGGACAAATTCAAGAGGTCCCACTACTTTGATGCAATGAGTGGTAATGACGATGTCCAGTGACTCACCGATTAGTTGGTGAGAAACAGTGACATTAGCATCTTTGAACCAATCACATGGTAACGAAAGATGAATAGTCGTAGTTATTCCTAGGATTTGAATTTGAAATTCTATTTTTAAGTAAAAAAAAAAATAATAGTATTATTATACCAGGTTGAACGAAGGACAAATATAAAAATACTAAATAAAAAAAATTATCAGCTGATTTTGTAACAATTATAGGTCATATAAGATAATATTAATAAATTAAATAATCACTTTAACACTCTCCACCACCATACATCCCATGCTATTATTCTTATGTCTGAAACAAGAAAAAGAAAAGCATAAATTTTCGGCTCTATCATATTCGTATTAAATGCTTTCTCTCTATTACTCAGTGAGGAATCGTTCATATTGGGCCTAACAATTGTGCGCCTCAATACTTTGGAATTGAGCCCACTGAGAATACTTCACTGAACCTTCCGCAAAAATACACATCAACTTTCGTACATAGCAAGCCACAATGTACAATTCTTGATTTTTTTTTCTTCAATTATTTTATTTAAATTCATTCAGAAGTTTCCAATAAATTCATGAGATTTTATAAAATAGATTTTTGAAAAAAAAAACATAATATATATTTTTCATTTTATATTTGATGTTATTTTGTGAGATTTTAAAATTTCAGAACATGGTAACCGTTAGACCTGAGGAATACATTATTTTGGTTCTTACGCCAAATTAGGAGAGACATTAATTAGAATTTCCTATTTGATTTAGTATTCCGGTAGGATTAGTTTCTAGTGGTTCAGTGGGGTAGGATAAAAAAATGAGGAAATTATTATTTTTAACAAAGAGTTATACTTATATACATATAAACAAAAAATATATATTTATAAAAGAAATTCAAATAAGTAATTTACTCAAATAACATTTATATCAAATAATATTTTTAACCTTTCTTCTAAAAATATTTGGACGCTCCGTTCCTTAATTAATTTACATTAAAAAATAATAAATAAATAAAAAATGAACAAAAAATCTTACATTTCAATAAAAAAATAAATGATAGAAAATTATTTGGAATCTCTCATTTTAATCTCTATCATTTACCATCTATATTTTCATAATCCACAGGACAATTATGATCAAAGAATGAAGAAAACAATAAAAATTATTACTATGATTATTTTGGTAGACAAAGATGTTGAGAAACATTAATACACTGCATTTAAGGAAATCCTAATAAAAAAAAGTGACATTAAAAAATTTGACTTTACCAAACTTATCATGAATTTCTATTTTCATAAGACAAATTCATTAAAATTCATTTAATCCTATTTTTCAGGATTTTCAAGAGTCATATTTACAAATGATCATAAAATCTTTCTTTCTCTTAAACTTCTCCTTACTTAAAAGAAATAAAAGTTAAATTAGTCACCTTATGTGCTTATAGTCATAAAAAAAATTTTCATCCAAATCTTTTATAAAAGAATCTAAACGCAATTTTTCCAGCCGAAATCCTTTAGAATGTAAAATCGATATTTCTATTTTCTCTATAAAACTAATCAAGTAGAAAACCTCTCAAATAATCATTTTAACCTAATATCTCTTTTGAGGGAATTTTTGAATATCAAGAAGAAAAAGAAAAAAAGTTATTTTTGTAATATTCAAAAGAAGAAACACTTTCCAAATTAATACAAACTTAGAAGAAAATGATGTCTCTCATTTCCATTGTTTCTAAATATATTATAAAATTTTAATTTTTTGTTGTATATTTTTTAAGTAATTAGTTGTCAAAAAATAAGTACAAAATAATTAATCCTAAAATATTTTACATATAATATGTTTTTTCTCTCATGTGCAAATTCAAATAAATGAAAACATTTTTCTCAACGTTTTCTAATAATTCGAGCGACACAATTATTTTATAAATTTTAATTTTGTTTTTCTTTGAATCTTAAAATTTTTATAATAAGATTACAAAATTGCAAAAAATAATTAACTTTTACTAATATATTTATTCAAAATATGAAATAATAATAATAATACTAATAAGATCTTTTATTCTTATGTAATGAATTGAGTACTAAAATTAATCATATTTTTCAAAATTCATAAAATGTTAGAATAAATTTTATAAATTAAGTTAAAATTATACAATAATTCTAACTAAAAAAATTA